GGCACCGAAGAGGTGGACCCCGTGGCTGCGACGGTCGAGCTGCTCTGGGCTGCCGTGGTGGGAGTGCTCTTAGCCGCCGAAATCTTGGACACCTGCCCTTGTGACTTCTTTTTCGGTGGGGGCGCCGATGTCTCGTCGGAGTTCTTCCTCTTTGACCTCTTGGCCACTTTGGCCGAGCCTGATGTGATGATGTCGGATAATCTGACCACTGCACAAAAAACAAACATTATTATTTGCCACAGCCGAAGTGAAAGGAAAACCATGAAAAAAAAATTACAAGATTTCTTAAGTTTAGTGGAAAGGAAGGGAGGCTTGTCAGGGTCGAGTAAGGCTCCGCTAATCCCCCCGTCGAACAACACGGCTTCGGGGTAGTCCCAACTATATATCCGAAGTTCTGATCCCATCAACTTCTGGAAGGCCTCCTCCTCGAGGTCTCCCGCGGAAGGGTCGATTTTCGATTTAATTGGCCTCCACCAAAAATTCCAAGGGAAATCCCCGGCTGGGACGAAGATGAAGTCGCACTTCCAGTTCTTTATCGAAGTGGGAGTACCAATCACGAGTTTCGGAATGGCGTTGTTCCGATTACAAATGTAGAACCATTCCTTATCTGTCCCGTGTGCCTTGACTGTATAGCATCGGCGAAAAAGATCCACGGTGGGAGTCACCTCTTGATGTCGGCAAAGCATTTCAAATTCTACCAGAATGCGGACCGCGTTCGGGGTGAGTTGAGTAATCCTCACGCCGAAGTGACAGAGTACGTCCCTGAAGAATCTCGACGGTGGCATCTTCAGTCCGGTCTCCAACTGCTGAAGGTAGATAGCCACAGTGCCCATGGGGGGCTTCTCGGCCGAGTCATTCGGCCCGGACGAAGTGATGATATACCCCGGCCTGAAGGGGTACTTTCTTATCACCTTCCCGGCCCTATCTCTTCCCATGCGGCTTCTAAACTTCGACATCTTGCCGAAGTCGATGTTGGCAGCATTCCTTGGAACAACTGGCTCCAGTACGCCCTCGTCACGGGGTATTGCAGTTCCGAGGTCAGTGTTATATTCGATCTCGGAACCTCCCTCGCTCATCTCTGATGACTCCGACCCCGAGGCTGTCCCAGCAGCTTCCTCCTCGGCTAATTCCCCCACATCGGTAGGCGTTGACCCCGCAGAACTGGACGAAGTCGCATCTTCCAAGGGGTCCGGCCCCTCCTCGGTCTGATTACTCGACTTTACGGTTTCCTTAAGGGTTTTGGCTTTTTTGGCCATGTGTGAAAGATGAGATGAAAAGAAAGATACTTACTATTGACTACGGAATCGGACGAAATTGATGACTTCGGCTGTGATTTCGGCTGACAGAACTGACATCGACAACGCTCACTTACTTCGTAAGTTTCAGACGAAGATGAAAAAGTGTGAGAAGTGTGGTGAAAGGAACCCCCCATTTATAGGGGTCCGAGGGAACCCGAAGAAGAGGCAAGAATGCGAAAAGACAGCCACGTTTAAATTCAAAAGGCCACGTCTTCCTCTCTCTTCATTAATGACCCGTCCTTTCGACTGACACCCTCTCTGCACGAAACGTCCCACTATCTCACGACGTGACGGTTACTTGTAACCGCTCTGCTCACCACGTCCTATCAATTGACCTGTCCACGTATCGCACCCCCGCATCTTCCGGAGCAGTTTCGGATCCCCGACTCTGAATGACCTCGGCAAAACAAAGTCTCGACACCTCTCACTCCCGGAGCTCCCGAGGCTTGGGGGGCTTATTGAGGATGCTCACCTCGAACGTCCCATACGGCCGAGGTGACCTCGTTTCGTCTCTCACACGGACGCGATCATGTCCTGAACATGACCCCTGAGTTCGGCCAGGTCCCTGGCCGAGTGCTTAGGGGACCTCGGCACCTCAGGCTTCCACCTCGGTTGCACGCTGATGATGTCAATCCGCCTGACATCATCCGAGACCAGTGCTTTATCTGAAAAGCACCTGATGCTCTTAATGGCTACTGTGCCAGGTTCCCCGTCACCCTGCCCAGGCGGCTACTGTGTCAGAGTCAGACCTCCTGACAGGGAACAGAGCCGTAATGATAGGGTATGGGTCCCACTAGCATGAGCCCTCCATCCTGTCATCCACTCCCGCTCTATAAATACCTCTTCTACACACCTCTCAAGTAAGCACACTGTTCATTCACATACGCTATTGCTTTTCTCTCGTTCTCATACTAACTTGATCGTCGGAGTGATCTCAGGGGAGAAGCCCCGCCATCCACTTCAGACAAGCAAACACACCTCACTTCACCTGAGAAGGGACTGATTCAGGTCGGTTCAACTACCCACCAAAAATTACCTCCTCACACAACATCTGGACATGCTTTGTCCCTTAAGGTGAGATTCTGCGGAAGAAGTGGTACAGAAGCTCATGACCTTGATGGCATATGTTAGATCCCTTGAAGCAAAATATGGCAATTTTGGGGGATATTCCGAGTTTGTTTGGTCTCTTTGCTTATTCATTTGTCTATATTTCATGCGTTTTTCTTTTTTGGGTGCAACAGAGGTGATGCTTGGTTCATTTTCGTCACGGAAATCCACCGCGCCGTTAGAAGCTTGAAGGACTTTGCCATTGTATCGATCCAGCACCAGTTCATGGACTGGCTATAGTCCGAAACAGTAATTTACATAACCACCCACCCTAATTCGACACTGTTTATAAAGGAGAGCTGATTGAATTAGTAACAGTAAATAATCGCATTCATTTTCCCTGCAAGCAACCACGATCCGGGATTAAGATAAAAAAACTTGCATTAAAAAGCTGCGCAGGTGCATTATCAACGTGTCAGATGTCTCCTACGGATGCTGTGGAGCGTTTTCCTTCTCTAGATGCTGCACTCCAAAGGCGTGACGAGTATTTTGACGGCTGTGAGGAGAATCAACCGACATATCCCACTTGATACCGGACTGGTATTATTATAGCAGCCCAAATGTGTGTAGAAGATCACTTATGTGGTCTTTAGGTCACCTCGGGACATCAAGATTAGTTCCTAACCATTCTTTTGCTTGTTTTGCAAGTAAATTCTTTTGGAACGTGGATAACCTCGAGAGAATGCTGATGGCCGGGGTGTGTTCTCTGCCTCCATTGACAATAGAGAGATAGCTATTCTGTTTAGGTTAACTTCAAGGTTCCTGATCTAGTACTACCGCGATTATAAGTTTTTCTCAATGCTTGAGGTCTCAACCGGAATTGTCGAAACCTGAAAGTTCTTGACCAAGCTTAACAAAGTACTAAAAGAAACCATCAGCAATGAATATTCTCGTGTAAAATCTTTCACAAACTTATGCGAGAAAAAGGAAGTTCAGTAATAAGTTCCCTCACTTAGACATATTTATCTCCACGTTTGTTTACATATACATTTGGAGATTGGAGAGAGAACAACTTGGACTATTAAATCACTCTAGTTCATAGTCTTATTCACATTGAGAAGCGGAATCTTTTCACTTCCTTTCTAATTTACAATACAGATACAGTATTGCCTAGTAGTTCACTGAGCTCGCGTGGGGTTGGTGGTAGATATTGAGTTAAGTTCATCCCGTTCAAGAAGTGCTTGGGCGAATTGAGAATTCAGTAGACCAAGAGAGAAATATCAAAGCTAATTTAGTCAGTTGTTTTTGTCTTTTGTGATAGTCAGATTGCATTTTGAGTTATTCAGCTCCAGGTTCCTGCTTTTGTGCTGTCACAATTCTGCTTCTTCTGGTGCTGCAATGAATTGAATTCTTTCTTACGTTGATTTTCTCTGGTTGTTGAAGAAAGATGAATACCAAAGCATGGACTCTATTGCAGTTTATGAGAGCACCTTCTATCAGAGTGAGAAAGAGCACTCAGCCTATGTTTACCTTTATGAGCTTGTATTGATCATAGCCATTCATTCTACTTACTGTATCATTAATTTCTTCTGGGTAGATGGTGGTATGCCTCGTGGGAGCGGTGTAGCCTTCAGTAGATAGAGAAGTTTCCCCGAAATTTGATAAGGTAGGGACTTTGATATGAATTTCAGATGCATTCTGTATTCTGCTAGTTTTAAGAAAAGAAGAGAAGGATCTTTTTGGCTTAATCTTTATTGCTATCCGCATTATGCTCAGGTCTATTAGAAATTAGAACCTCTCTCTTCCACCGTATGGTTCTGGTTGATGTGCCATTGGATCATTTCTTCAAATGAAGCTTCAAATCTTTGCTGTGTTGCTTCTTATCAACTATTGTATTGATCTTTCTAGCTGCTCTTTTCTGCCATATATATGGGTTCTTTATGCATTTCTTTTGCTAGGTTTCTTTTTCTGTATGTGTTTGTGTCTTCTTCTTCTTCTTCTTCTTCGGGTGACATTTGAACTGTCAGAATTCATTATAGTGTTGGGAAGGCATATTTGTGGCAAACACCTAGAGTGTTCCCCAGGGCTAGGCACAATCAAACTGCCTCTGAGCAATGAAAGGGGGAAAGCATTTGCTGCACATGCACCTCAAAAGTTGAGGCAGATATTTCGACCACTGATCCCCCCTACAACTTGAGGCGATCAGCCACTGAGACTTCTGTGTTTCTGCTTGCTGCAAAGCCCAAAGGTTAAAAGGCTAACTGGTGACATGCATGAGGATTCGCAAGCTGCTTAAGTTTATTTTCTTTAGTCATGGTTCTTTCTTTCATGCCTCTCTTGTGGCTGTGTAGGATTGAGCGGGCAGGTCAAGCCTCTTCTGAATTCCCCTTCTAAATAAACATGTGATCTACAATTAAATATATATGCTACTGTTTTTATTACACCTGCTTTTATCTTCTGCCTCTGCCTTGTTAAATGATGATAAATACAGAGTAGTTTGTGTTTCCTCACCTTTGTAATGAAAGGAGTGCAGTTAGTCTGCTATTCACTTTATATGCTTTATTTTTTCTGAACTTTTTAAGTTTTAATTTGAGTAAGCATAGTCGTACCTTATTGTTTTAGGTTACTGTCTTTCTACCTCAGAAAAACCAAATCATACTAGACCTCAGATGCATTAGATACATGCAAAGCCAAATGGAATCTTATTATTTTTATGAAATATTTTCTTCTTTCTTTCACACTTTTAGTTGTTTAACTGAATGAATGAATAGTAGAAAAGCAGTAGGATATGTTAATCAGTAATCACCACCGAAGTAAGTTTGAAATATGATCTGGCTACTAAGAAAAAGAAGAAGAGGTAAGGATGTTAGCAATTTTTTTTTAGATAGAAATTGAGTAACTCCACTTTACTTATTCAAGCTATTGAACTCTTTTAACTTGTTACACCTTCAAGCAGTAGAATATGCACAATGGTTTCTTTGGGAGAACCTGGAACGTGACCGTAATGGTGCATAGAATGTTAGGAGACGCATGATATATGATCAGAAATGAGTACTAAACAAGTAGGTTCAACTTACATTGAATCTTTTCCTGTTTGTAGCTTTCATTTTCTTGAATGTCTTTTGTGGACTTAGTTTTTAAGCATCAAATATTAAGCAGAAACTGTTTTAATTTTGCCACTCTACAGGCATTGAGAGCATCATTTTTTTCCCCCTTTATCTATTTCTTGTGTCCTCTACCTTGTGCTTTTGTTCAAGGACTGTTCTTGTGTCTTACCTCGATCACCAAATCCTTTTAGCAATTGAAAGTTGAAAGCCGCCTCTTATTGATGATAAGTTAAAGCACCAGTAGTTACTCTTGTATTGTTACTCTTTGAGCTTGTATTTTCCTTTAGTGACATCAACTTTCTTGCAGCTTGGTTTATGCAGAACGATGAGTTACGTGAATCTGCTAGGTGACTTTTGCTGTCCATTGCTGAACAGTGTGTCATGATCGAAATAGCAAAGGCACGAAGGGTATGATTTGCCTTCTGCCTCGACAAGGTATGTTTGGCATTGTTAAGATTGATCTCCCTAGCACTACACTTATTGATTACTCTGCATCAGTACCATGTTTGTATTTTTTTGTTGTATTAATGCATTCTTGTCATTGCTGAAATGTTGGGAGTTCCATCTATGCCATACAGCAAGTCACAAATTCTTGTGAGGAAATATTCTCGAGTCATCTTCACTCTGCTGGCAGTCAACTATTGAATCCTTTAACTAAAAGTTAGTTTCACATTGGGATAGGGAACATGAAAAGAGTCCATGCTATTTAGTTTCACATTGCATTTAGGGGCTTGGAGGAGGACTTTAAGCTAGTATCTGATTATGGCATTAGCTGCTTGGAACAGACATAAGAAAAAGAGTAGGCAGTTAGGATATATGACGCGATGTTGTTTAGTCTCCAAGTGCTAAAAATTGAATCCTTAACTAGAAGTTAGTTTCGGCAGGGGGCTGGAATGTGAGTAGAGTCTGTAACTTATTATGCTTCGTGTCACGGGCTTGGATGCGTTTCAGCTAGAATTTTGTTTAAGACACGTGTTGCCTGAAGTCTGGATAGCTTCTAGTATTTTGTTATTGGTTAATTGAACCAGGATTTCTATAAGAAAAATGATTATGGGTTTCTGAAAATGGCACATCTTGTGTATTGACTCCAAACTTTAATCTCTAATGATATCATGGCTGGCTTGATTAATAGTTGAGAGCAAACACTGCCATGCAGTGCCCTGCATTTTAGATAAATGGTTGGTACGAATTTTAGGTGCATATCATTAACTATGATATTATGTATGTCTACTATTGTTGTCTTCATAGTGGGGGAAAGATTATTGATAGTTCACTAGATATTTGAAGAAAAGTTCACTGGATATGATGATGGGAGGCACTTTATTGCTGTTTCCCGTCTTCTGCTTTCTCCATGACATATAATAATGTTGCCGAACTTTGTAATTATAGCCTGTAGGATTTTTGTTTATTAAGTAGTAATAGTTCATAAATTCTTTAATCTGCTGAGTTTTATTTATTATTATTATTTTAAAATGCCTGCCAGCTTTTAATATGTGAAAATTGCTATTAAAGTCCCTGGCATTTTTCAAACTTCTGTAATTTAGATCCTTGCATTATAAGCTCTTTTTTTGCCTATTCTTATTTTGGATGGAAATAATTGTAGTAGAAAATAGATTAGAGAAAGGGACTTCACCATTTCTCTTTGTTTGAAAATTTTTAGTGGGGATACAATAGCTAAACCTAGTGAGTTTAAAATCGTGTAGTTACTTTCTCAAAAGCTAAACAAAATGTCAGCAATTTTAGAATGGGACTGATTAGAGGTGTTAATCACAATCAAATTATATTGATCCATCCAAACTTGTCCACTAATAAGTAGACTTTAATGTGCAATTAGGGTTGTCAATGGGCTTGGGCTAGCTCGAGCCCAGTTCATTCAACCCGCAACAAGGCCCTATGAGCCTTATGTTTAATAGGCTTGGGATGAGTTTGGGACTAAATGGGGCCCAAATTAAATGAGCTGAGATTGGGCTTTACTAAGTTCAAACTTGATTAAGACCTGACCTATTTACATGTATAATTATATATATAATATATGTAATTTCATATTAAGTGGTATATATAATGTAGAATTATACATTATAACATTAAAATATCAATCATTTATATACAAATTTATAATAATTTATAAATATTAATATATTATTTATAATTATATATTTAATTATGAGTTTGGGTCAAACCCGATATGAACCCAAAGTTAATATAAAATGATGAGTCGAGTTTGAACTTTCTAACTTAGGTCCAAGTCTGAAAGTTCAAAATCCTGAAAGCCCCATTTATTTTTTGAGTTGAACTTGGGCTTCCCAAAGTGAGGCCCAGCTTATAGAGCTTGATAGACACCCCTGTATGTAGAGCTTTTGGTAGAGTGTGCTTGGAAAACTGACTCGAATTCCCATATTATAGGATATAGTTTGCTTGCATACTGTTGGCTGTGCTGTCCATGTTCTAAATGTATGCAATACCAAGTGCATATTATATAAACTATTGATGAAATTGGATCAAAACCATACAGTTGCTAAATTTCAAATCGCGTTATTTTAGTCCTGTGATTCAACAATCCAATTTTATAAATTTGATCCCAATCTAAGTAAGATTCTTGGAGTTTGTAAGTAAAACTATAGTCAAATGAATAGAATTTTGTAGAATCAAGTGCATATTATATAAACTAAGAGAATTCTTACGAATTTAAAATTCGTAGCCTTATATGTCATGAATTCATATCAATGATATTTATTTTTCATATTTGTAGTCTAAAAATAAAATAAATTTCGAAAATTGAATGTTTATCAATTAGCATATAATGCTAGAATACATACATTTTAGCTGAAGAAATTTATTTTTTCTAACTACCATCACATTTTCTGCATCTATTTGCACATTTTTTCAACTATTCATGAACAATAAGCTTATAAATAAATAAAATGTTAATTTTTTTTCATATTTTTTAGTAGGAACTTACGATTCTATGATCCATCTATGGTTTAATCCTATGACTTCCAAAAGGAACCCTAGGTAGGATTCCCATTTTAAAAACCTTAAGACTCCAATCCTGAAAACGGCTATCCCATGTACAAAATAAAGGGGGGAAAAAGTAATAAAAAAGGATGATAAAAGAAAATAAAGAAGAAGAACCCCTCTGGATATTCAATTTGGTATTGTAATTTTCGGGCCTTTTTTTTCTGGGCTGAACTGCAACATTAAAGGGCCCAATATGTGATTGTAAAACCTGGATCAGCCCAAATTTCCAACGTTAGGCGCCAAGTTTCCAAGAACAAGAAACAGAAAATCATTTCAGCTGGTTCGTCCGGATTAGAGGCGTGCAAAGTCGAAAAATTTCGATTTATTGATCGATTTGAAATTGAATTCGAAATTTTGAATTCGGTAATTCGGTAAATCGAAATGAAATTCGATAATTTCGATTTCGAATTAATCGAAATCGGATCGAATTCAAAAATATAATTTTTAAAATCGAAATTACCGATTTCGAATTGAAATTTCGAAAGTGGAATTCGAAAGCAGAAAAGTAATTTCGAATTCGTTTTACAATATATGTAATATAAAATTTATATTATATAATATAATAACAATAATACATTATAGTAGTTAGTCTTCGGTCAAAAGGACAAAAAAGCAAAACCTAAATCTATTAAGCACTTAAGCTCCAATCTTCGGTCTTCCTTTCTTCCTCCGCCGCTGACTCTACCAGTCTCACAACTCTCACCTTCCTTCCTCCGCCGCCAATCTACCAGTCTTCAGTCGAGAAAGAGCTCAACTGAGAGCCTTCAGCTTTCCTACTTTCTCAGTTCTCACCTTCACTCTCTCTCACTCTAGTCCTTCATCTTCAAGCCATCAAGCTAGCCCATCATCTGCCCGGCAGTCTTCATCTTCAAGCCATCATCAGCCTTCATCTTCAAGGACAAATTGAGGTACGCTGGTGATTTTGCTTAATAGGGGCTATGCTATAATTGTTATCAATTTGTGTTTCTAGTTTATTTTTTATTAATTTTTGTTTCTAGTTTATTTTTCTTAGGCATTTCATCAAACAGCTTGTGAGTATTCTAGTAGTTCCGAAATTTCAATAAAATCAATATCTTTTAATCGTAATGAATGGTTGTATAAGTATTGTGATGGTTTAGATTGTAATGAAATGGTTTAAATTGTAATGAAACAGCTTGTGGTTTTGTATTTCGACTTTAGATTGTAATGGATGCATTTTATTCTCGTGGACTGGAATGGTTTTATAAGTATTGTAATGAATGGACTTTGTATAAGTTACTGCTATTGCTAGTTTGCCACCGCTAGTTGTTGCCTTCCCAGGTCTCGCCGGTGTTGCTTGTTGTGATGCAGACTTGTGAGAAGTTATTATAAAAAAAAAAAATAGGTTTTTGACTTTCGGTGAATTCGGAAGAATTTGGTAATTTCCGCATTCGAAATTGAATTCGAAATCGGAATTGGCCAATTCGAATTTGAATTCGGTAGGCAATTTCTATGTCAAAATTTCGAAAAATTCCGATTTACCGATTTCGAATTCATTGCACACCCTAGTCCGGATCTTTCTCTAGTCTTACTGAGCAAGAACTAACGGTAATCGTCATTCTTTTTTTTTCATTGTTTTTTCTTTATTTTTTTGTGGTAATTAGTCTTGGGGTGTTGAAGCGTTGCCCCATTTTAAGAGCCGAAATTCAGTAATCCGCATAATTGTTGCTCATATGCGTTAAGTTTCTTGCGCACCACCTGTTCGATTAATTAACGATAGGCTCTTCTAAGAATTTTGGGTTCTTAATCCGCCATGTTCTTACTAAAATAGTGAGATTTTGGATTTAGAAAAATTTTTAGACTGCTTCGATCCCTTGGTCTTTTTCTTTGTATAAGTTTTAGCACTGCTGCAATCCCACTTTGTTCTTCTTTTATGTTTATGTTTTTTCAATTGATTTTAAATGGGGAAAATGTTTTTTTAATTCTTTTTTTAGTTTTGGGCTTTAATTTCTTTGTTAATTTCAATGGTTCTTTTATTTCATTTGCTCATGTTTGCAGAGAGCAATCCAGACAATGTCTGCAATCAGAGCAATTGGTAGGGCACTTTTTGCTGCAGTCAAGGCTGACACTTCATCATCATCTTCTGCAGCTGCAGCTGCTGCTTCCACTGCTAGGACTAAACATAACCCTCTTGAGGATTTCTTCGAGGCTGACAGAAGTTCAGATGACGACAAGCCTGTTGTATATGGTATAAACACCTCTTCTCTCTATCATATCGTGAAGTTCTTTGGTTTTCATGTAATTGAAGAAACTGAAGTTAATAAGTTGGAGCCCGAAATTGACCGTGGAAATAAAGTACTGGTACAGTCTTAAATTCTACAAATACTTTGTGGTTTGAATAGCATCTCCTTGTAGTATCTAAGCTTAAGTATTTAATGTCAGAAGTGAAAAGGATCTCTTTTTTTGCATTGTGTTCTGGAGGTGTAATAATTCAGCTGATCTGTCTTAAGCTTTGACAATTCCTTTGAGGATTGCAGTGACAACCTCTTAAAATGGTGCTTCTGATGCTTTGGATGTCAAACAACATTTAGAAACAGCCTTGAGCATGACCTAGCATTTATGACTAGGAATTTTTTTTCCTTTTTACTTTTTTCCTCGATAATGGTATGTTCTATTTTCGGAATCATTCTTATACAGATGCTAAAATAATTTTGATAAAGAGCTATTTTTGAGTTCTTGTTTATTTTATTAAATTAAGATAGCTTATTTCAGCAAAGTAAACCTATACAGATAAGAAAGACAGCAGCAACTATTTCTTCTTATTACAACTCTATGTTGCTTCATACTTTTTCCAACCAGTTAAGGTCTATGATATAGCAGGATATGTGGAAACTTGAGTTCTAGAAAGCACCCTTTGTTTTCCAGAGAGATATGGCATGAGATAATTGTACACCCATGTTTGTTTGGTCTTGATATCTTTTTTTGTTAGATGATTATCCTCAAATTAATAAATTTTTAGGTATTGTAAATCAGTTGTACTTTCTTTTCTTGCTGGTTGCTCCATCTGAGTTACTGCATATAGCTTATGGACCTTGTTTTTTCTTGGTTAATAAATGAAAAGGTTGTATTCTGCTCTATGGTGTATGTGCAGCGCATGGCATTTTGTTAAACTTATGTTCATGGAACATATTGTTACCACTCCTTTCTTGTCAGTTGTGTGTTCAAAATAACTGTTGATTTTATCATATAGGTAGGGGCTGGAAAGCTTCTGAATTGTGCCTTAAATCATGGGATGATCCTCAGAAGTTATGGTTTGTTCTATTAAAGGAGAAAAACATGTTGATGACCCAACGCCAGATGCTTCATGCTCAGAACCTACGTTTTGCAAATCCAGAACATATCTCCAAGGTAGATTATGTATTCTCCAATTTGCTGTTTTTCTTTCATTTTTCAAATGCTTTTTCTGGTACTGTTATATAGCCATTTCTGCCATTTATCTTAAAGAATAAAATCCAATGTACTTGAAAAAGTTTCTTTGCTATAATCTTCTGCATTTTATTCTAATAAGCAACCAATTTCAGTTTTTTTCCCCAGTTTTATTATGCTAGAAAACTTCTCGATACTTATGCAGTGATGAACATCATCGCTTTGGTTAATCATGAAACTTTGTCTGATACAAGGTGAACGCAATTCTACAGAGCCTATCACATTTTTCCGCTTTATGAAACATTCCTAGGATTACAATTCTACTTAATAGACAGTTTTTTCCACTTGAAGGCGTGGGAGAAGCAGAGGGTGAAGAGAGAGGACCTAATAGGAGAAACACTATCTGCCAGATACATGTTTCTCCCAAGAAAAAAATCATTTTTGTATTTGAAAATGTAGTTGTACAGTGAGGGGACTCGCCGGGGGAGGGGGGGGAGGGGGGAAGAGAGAGAGGACCTGATAGGAGAAACACTGTCTGCCTGATATATGTTTCTCTGGAGAAAAAGTAAAAATTATAATCCTCACATTTTGTGGCTGATAGTAGCCCTGGAGGACCTGGGAGGAGGGGGGGGGGAGAGAGAGAGACAGACAGACAGAAAGGCCTGTTAGAGAGGGATTCAAATTAGAGGAGAAATATACTCGAGTTTTGCTGCTGATAGTATTCCTAGAAAACACAATCTGTCAGATACATTTTTCTTTTGAAAAAAGCTCTCCTATTTTGCAGCTCACAGTAATCTTGGGGGGAGATAGAGAGTGTGTGTGTGTGTGTGAGTGAGAGAGAGAGAGAGAGAGAGAGAGAGAGAGAGAGGGGACCTAATTGGAGGAAACATATCCTCATATTCATTGCTGACAAAAGTCCTAGAAGAAGTTAGGTACATGTTTCTTTAGAAAAAAGTTCTCATACTTTTCACCTCACAGTATTTCTAGAAGAAACCGCATGTCCTAGATACATGTTTTTCATAGTTCTTCTGTATAATATCTTTATTCTTGTCAACCTCAAAGGAATTAATATCATAATTCAATCTTTCCGAATATGTTGTCTGAAAATGATCTTATCAGCAAAATTTTTAATTCTGACATTGTGTATTTTAATCAACAAATGGCATATTGTAATTCTGTATGATTGGAAATTTATTTTTCTTCTTATTTTTTCAACTAAAAGCTTATCTTGAAAGGTTGGAAAAAATTGAATTCTATAAATGGTTGTGTTTTCTATGTATGGAATTACCAATGAGTTAATTAAATAGTTTCCTTGCTCCATTACAAGTAGGTTGGGGTTGTCTGACCTTTTTCCTTAATATGCTTCATGTTTTAGCAATGAACTTTTTGTTTTACATTTATGGTCTTTCCTAGTTCAAATGAATGGTAAGCGGATCTACTCTTTTATGAATTTCTGGTCAGGTAAAATTAGTTGGGTATGCTGGAGTAGCTTTAGGTGAGTATGATGCTTGTATTCAAAACTGTCCAGCTTAATCTTTTGGCTGTTGTATTTTTATGGCATGAATGTTACAGAAGTAGAGAGGAAAAAAGTAATAATTAACATAATGATGGACATTCATGGACTAAGAGAGCCCCTGAGACCTAAATTTGTCAGAGTGGAAATTTTGACATGATTGGGGAATTTCAACTTGGAAATAATAGTCACAGTGTATAAAATTCTTACTTCTAGAGAACAAGATAGTTGTTTAGTTCTGAATCGCACTGGCTAATGGCTATGCCATCGCCAAAGCTGGTTCCTTATCCTCTTCTTCTTGAAGCCTGAGTGTGACATATGCTTTGAGCCTTTAGTCATCATGCATCCATTCTGTTACCCTAGCACTGAGGCTTCTTATTTCTTCTTAGTTTTTCCTTGTCAGAATAGACAAGTGTAGAAATGCTTTTTCCAAAAGCTTTCAAATGCTCTATAAACTAGAGAGCTTTGTATCTTTACTTTTGTGCCTATTTTGTTGCTCCAATCTTCTAGTTCAGCTGCTTCATGATTTTCAAAGGCTGACAGAGCCATAACTTGTACATAAGTCAGAACTTTTTTCCAACAAGTATAAGACTTGCAAGATTACTACTATCTCAACTCATTTACTACATTTGTGGTGAGTGACTTTGAGCCATTGACTACCATCTGATTTAACTGATATTTTGGCTTTTTAACTTTGTTAATTACTGGAATTTATAGTTAAGTATGGGGATATTTGGTGATGACAACCACAAATGATTTAGTCTTATGTCATATTTTCATTCTCCAATGCTGTGCAAAGTTGTGTTTTATGTCCAGTATATAACCTTTAATCCTTAGTTCGCATTGATGATCTTTCTACCAGCCTGTACAACACAAGAAATTAGTTCGGCTATTTGAAATAATCCTGCATACCTGCAAGTGGCTTGGCTTTCACCTAATTTTTGTTCCTTGTGTTTATACTGCTTTTATTTTGGAGATTAGACGTTTTCCAACTTTGATTGAATGCACTTATTTATTTATTTATTTATTTTTTTGTATGTGGAATATTTCTACTCAAATCTAATTATATCTTGTTGGGTTATACATGTGTGTGGCGATAGTTTCGTTAACTAATTGTGAATTTTACAACAAAGGTGTCTGTCTACCCTTTTGTATATCAAAGGCGGATGCACCATACATCCGATTTCTCTACCATAGATGATCACAAGGAACTTTTCGTGTATCCTCCACATGACAGAAATAATACTCTTAGTGAGGTAAACAATTAATTTGACTAAGAAATTGAGAAATCATATCTTCTCATGGTCCTTAATGTCTACTTGGTATTTCTTATAATCTAACACTTTTTACTTGCTATATTCACATATAGGATCAGATCCCTTTGGAAAAAATTAAGGAATTATATAGTCCTCTCATTCATGAATATGAGTCCAGATCGAAAGTTGCCAAAAAGAAAGAAGTGACTTGGATGGATTTTTCTAGACTGTTAATCAACACAGAGGTTGAGAAACGCATTTGGATATTTGAAGAAGTTCATAGAAGGAACTTGCATATCGTGGACGGATGTTTCAGTGAAGATCCACCGATTGCGTGTACTTGGCCTTTGCCCAATGAAAGGTAAGTTGTAATGTTTCTAATGCTTTCAACATTTATCATAGTTGTCCATGTTATAAGATTGATTTTTTTTTTCTTTTTTAGGTGCGCTATAGTTTCAGTTATTGCTGGATTTGACCCGAAGACGGGGACGATATTTTATGGAATCGTGATACGGAATGAACATGGCGAAATATTGCTGATACAATGTCTGACTGAAGTCATTGAATCTTGGAAAAGATTTAATCCGCATGAGGCTGAGGCTGAAGCTATTCGTAGAGGCATTAAGTTTGCAGATAAGAATAAGAAAATGTTAGGATATGACAAGTTCATAGTTGAATCTGATAGCAAAGAAGGCATTAATCGGGTTTCAAGGTCTCTTACTTTCTTAAGATTTTATTTCACTTTGGATCCTTTTTTTGTTCTTTATATTTATACTCGTGTTTGGCATTTGTTTGGCAGATGGGCAAGTGAAAATTACCCAAATTTTGAATTGAGACACACATATCGCGAATTAATGGGGTTAACCCAACTCCTCATCAACCATGTGAAGGTATCACCAGATGTCCAAAATCCCGATTACGAGTCGATTGAGAAGGATTTAAAACCCATTGCAGAAGGATTCAAGGCTGGCATGTTGCGCCTTATATTTCCAAAGTCCAGGAAGAGCAAGAAGGGAAGGAACCAGAAGAACAAGCGTGAGAATTGAATGATGTTCAAGTTAAAGTAGTAGAGTGAGGTATGCGCAATTTTCTCTACCTTTTTTTCCCTAATTATTTCATTTCAAAGGTTTTTTTTTTCTAAATTTTTTTGAAAAAGATAGAAAACAAAGAACTGCTTCCGTGTGTTCAATTTCTTTGATATCTACCCCTGTTGTGGTATCAACTCTTTAGTGTGTTCAAACTCTTAGGTCTTTAGATTTTTTTCTTGATTTTTGTCGCTGAAACACATAAGCATGTGTGCATTATTAAACATTTGATGAGTTTGTATATTGTCGATAGATAGTATCGGATGAAGAAATGCAGTATTAATGTTCATCTTTTGTAGAATCCCTTTTATGTACTGGTAGTTTTGTTGCTTAGTAACGACTTGGTTCAATTGGGTCAATTCCAGATGGAGATATTTGGCTATTTGCTGCCTTGTTTATAGGTTTATGTTCTGTTCAATTATTTGACATTGATATATTTTTCTGAGTTCGTTTTGCCATTCTGCAGCAAGAATCATTACTTGTACTACGGTCAGGTTATTAACAATTTAACATCTTTCTTTATTTGATCGCTGTCTCCTTTTGTTTATGACAGTATTCATCCCTCTCCCTCCCCCCCCCCCCCCCCGCCTTTTTTCTCTTCCTCTTCTGCGTGGTCATAGCAAAATTCACGATTGGGCAATTAAGTTTTGATGCATGTTTGATTGATGCTGTGTTGCTTGTCTGCAGTTGGGCTGCTGTAGTCCACCAAAACGTTGTGGTTTTCTGCAAAGAAATGAAAGCTTCTGGGAGATCCCAGAATCCAGGTTTTTGCTTCCCAGAACGAGGAACGCCAAATGTGGGCAAGCAGCAGCAACAGGGGAGGGTGCTATGATTGTGACTCATGCATAGCAGGTTACCTAGCCAAATTCCAGATGGACTGGCAGGCTGATAAGGCACTATTTGTGGCCATCCTTCTCATCCTCATAGTTAGTACCTCCCTTGCCTTCTGGACCTTTGGTTTCAGGGATGAAAGCGAACATGCCTGTGAACAAAGGAAATACAGGAACATGGTTAATGCTTCATGCGCTAGTGTGTCAATTTCAATTTTGTTCCCTTTTGTTGTGGCTGAATCGTTCACTGTAGAATATAGATGCCAACCAACTTTGGTGGAATTCAATTTGGGCAATGTTCGTCATATTTGATGCAATTGCCTCTGAATTTGGTAGTTTTGCTGCAGTAGATGTAAGTACATGTGTACCTGAATCATTTCTCTCACCCTATCCTATAGCAATAGAAGTGCATTTACGAAATTTAGGCTTAGTGATTGAGAGCTTTTATTGTTTTAGAGAGGAGCGTTTATTGTTGTCCAGATTCTAGATTTCTGTGTCCCTTCAGGCTGCATTAGGTCTGGGGTTTCTCAAATCATCCTTTGCTCTAAAAGCTCAGAAAAGGGGGAAAAAAAAAAAGAAAACAACAGCAATACAATGCTGTTCTGATATAGCACACTTCTGCATGTATACCATTTTTGAAGTGCTTTTGCATTTTTAATTTTAAATCGTTGGGGTGACCAGAGAGGGCCCGACTTGGACACAAGTATTCCTCAATTCTTCAACGACTCCATCTATGATTTGTCTTTAGTGAATGGTGTGATGGTAGCGTAAAGTGTGCAGGCAGTCAAGACAAAAGGATAACCTCTGTGTGTCTGTTAATGACTCACCGATTCTGGCTCGTGATGGGAACCCCAGCTCTCACTGGAGGATTTGCTGAAGAAGATTTCGTCAAAGTGGGTGAGTTCTTTGATGCAGCCGTGAAACTGGCTCTGAAGATCAAAGCTGAGACTAAAGGTTTTAAAGCTTGTTCAATGTTTACTTTGACTCATCTTTTTCGATATCCTCTGGAGCTTAATAAGCTGGCAGGGTGTTCAAATACCTCTATCTTTGCTTTTGTTCAGGTACAAAATTGAAGGACTTTGTGGCAACAATGAAGGATGCTAACTTAAATCTGGGATTACTAAGCTACGGCATGAGATTGAAGGGCATGCCAAACAATTTCCAACAATTGGGTTCAAGAAAGACACAATGAAATACAAGGACTGAACAAGGTTCCCTCCATTGTGAGGTAAATCAGCAGCTTGTTGACTGCTAATCAAATGCTAATTCATTGATTTTTAAGTAAGAATAGATAGTAGGACCATAATCTTCATAGCAGATTACTTAAGCTGTTGATTTTTCTTAGTCATTGCAGCCCAATCCTCTTGAAAACTGTCTTTTTGACTATTGTATTGCTAATGTTTTAGGTTCTACTTCTACGTAGAGATTAATATTCCATGTTTACCTCAATATATGTACGAAATTAAATGCTGGCACTTGTGCAATTTACCGGTTGATTTGTAAATGCAATGACAAAATGGAGTACAGCAGGAGTATCAACTATCAACAACACTGGAAATCTTAGCTACTCGAGACTTTAGCCCATCACTTTCTTCTTTTGCAATCCAAGAAATGCAAGCAAAGATATGGAAATGAGTTTCAAAAAATTGTAACAGGTTATGCTATAGAAGTATGATGAGTTTATGAAATTCCAAAACAAATATTTATATCCCATCATTTTGGGTATGTATTTCAACAGTTCAGTTGTGGATGATTTATCTTTGGAGGCCATGCTCTATCCACAGCCACATTCGCATAAGTAAGCTGCCTATGCTAAATTGAATGCTTTCAGCTATCTATGGCACCATTCCATTTGCTTCTATATGTGGTACTAACAATGCCAGCACAAGCACATGCTGTTAACGAGCATCTTTTGCCCCATAGACCATATGCAAACCACCGCCTATTAAGAGGCCGCCACATATTCCAGCCAAATTTGGGCAATTAACTCGCCCTATATGATGGACGGTTAATAGTCTGTCTGGTAGAAGTTGGGACCTGATAAGAGTTTCCTGCTAATGTCCCATGACAAATTAAATCATCTACTATTTTATGTTGTGATGATTAGCAATTACTCCTATTAGCTTCCTATACAGCTGTCCCTTGCAAAAAAGACACCAAGACTACTGCCAGAGTAGGATACTCTTCGGTTTTCAAATGTGTACTACCTTCTTGAAAGACAAAAAAACGCCCGCGGGGCAGGGTTATACATTAAACGATGTACCACGAAATTTCAACTCAAATATGGTAGGATGCGACATTTCCTAATCACTCCAAAAGCAAGTTAACAAGGCCATTGACATGTTCAACATGCAGATATCATTGGTAAACAGAAAGGTATAACCTAGCTTCATATATGGACACCATAACGAGGGGGAAGCAGCAGAAACGGAAAAGAGAAGGCCATGCGAATCAGGATTGACCTGCAGGCTCTTCTTGCAGAAAGAAGTGTTTTGGGGTTCAACTTCCTGAATTCTAATGCCTATTGTTAGTTTCTCAATCACCTAATAGCATAGCTAACTCAAAGCTTCAATCCGCCCACCCTCCAACCGCCAAACCACGTCCCTGAAAAGAAAATAACACCCAGATGCCAGAATCGATCTACATTTACAGCTTTGGCATCAAAGTAAGCAAAAAGCAAGAAAAATGCAGATGGGAATGTAAAAACGAAACTCCCATTATTGTTATCATGATGATCAATCCTGTGGCAATATTCAATAGACCAGTCCAACAATGCCACCATTGTATAAGCATTTCTTAAGTACATGGATAGGATCAACAACGCCAATACCTCCTAAGAAAACAGCAACTTTCAACTGAAAATTTTTGATATACCGACAAAACAAGGTTTACAATTCTACAACATTACAAGTAAAGCACATGCGTTAATAAACTCTTGAACAATGGAAACAGGAAAATCCAGAGTCTCAGGGAACAACAACCACATGAACATCGGCATAAAAATTCATAATTGGTTTTAATTGGAAAGCCAAATTCCACAGAGCAGTGCTAGGCAAGGGGCTCATAGTACTCGCCGCGGGACAAAATAATATTGATGCATGTTATTGCTATATCTGTAGTATTGGAAATCGCATGAAGACTCAAAGCCACTTATGATCCCCTTGGAGTAGTTCTGAATACTCCCCTTCTATTTGCCTTTCCCGTGACTTGTTTCCTTTCTCCCCTCCCCCAGCTCTGGTTATTTGAGAAATTTTGCATATGACTCTGGTGCAACTATCTGAATTTGCAACGTTAATCTGTGTTAAGGTGCTCAATATTTGTTAGTAATTTATATCATTTTGTTTCAGCAAATGGTCTGTCTCTGTTCCAAAATTTGAAATTGGAGAAAAGGTTCTGCGCTTCATTCGTTTTCTCTTCTTTTCCTGTTTGTGCATTTGCACAAGACTGTCATTTCATGTGTATGGATTTCCCTTCTGTTTTGTGGGAGGCGTATATGCAGTAAATGAAACTTTTTGTATGGGATTTGTTAAGGCATGGTATAATAAGAACAGTAATTGAGAATTCAAGTCAGATTATGGTTGTAGTTTCAATAGGTGTCACGATTGATGTCTGCAGCAATTATCTCATCTTTTTTTTTTTTTTTGCTGGGACAGAGATCTGCTCTGGAAGTTGTGAGATTGCTGGCGCAGAAGACCAAAGAAGTTGAATTTGAGTTTTTTAAATATGTGAAAGAGCAGAAACTGGTTGAATTAGCAGGCTTGTTGTTGGTGGCTCATGAAAAGGTTATGCCTGGTTTAGAAGAACATATGAAAATCCGCAATTTTGTCTTGAAAGAAGCTGCATTTCTGAATTTACAAGAAATCACGTCCTTGTATAGCTCTGGTGATGAGAAATCCCTACAAGAGGTTAAAAAGAAGAAGGTGGAGATGGAGGCAATACTATTATTACTTGAAGTATTTGACAGAATTGGTGATAAACTTTCGGCTTATCTTCAGATAATGCGAAAACGGGTATTGACTAGTTTTACCTCTTCAAGGACTGAGGTGGTCACTAGTTTAAACTAAATCCTAATAGTTAAACTGGAGAAGCATACAATGTGTACTCCAAGCTTCTCTTCTTTGGTTGTGTTGACGTCATTATATTGTTCAACAAATTCGGTGTTATGTTCCACTTTTTGAATTTTGGATGTGAGATTTGATGCATGTGAATTGTATTTCTGTGATAGGTGAGAGAGGAATATCACGCCAAAGAAATTGGCTGGATCTTGGAGAAAGCTGGATTTTCCGTGAAGCTTGAACTTTTTGATGAAACAAGCAGGTTTTGGTGTCAAGGACTTTTTCCCTCCGCCACTCCCTTTTCTCTGAGTATCTAGTGATACTGTACCACAGTACATGGACTTATTCCAAACAGAGTTTTCCTTGCAACTTAACATGACAGAATTTAGCATGAGAAGTAAAAGGATCTGACAACTGCATTTCGGTGATAACATCATCCCCTGAAACACTTAACTTTGTACTGGAATTGCGCAGAGTAGAAAACTATAGCTATCGTTATGGTGCTCAGACAGCTGCAACTTGTTATGTTTTAGATTGAGATGCATTGTACTTAATAAAATATCTGAATGTAGCCTAGGTTGCTTGCTTAGAACTCTCATTTTTATGTCAAACTCTAGCTTATTGCTTAGCTTTAATTCCTATTACTATGCCAAGGATCCAGTCTAAGTGCAATTCCAATTCCCAAGTCCAGCACTTGCATTTATGATGTTTGCTGTTTGCATTTGATTGGCTCATATTGATGTAGTCTTACTATTTAACTCTATAACTTGTTCTTGCCCTTCTCACACTGCAAAAATTTGCAGGGGAATAATTGAGCATGAGTGGTATTTACCCTTTCTAGGTGATTCTTTTGTACTTTCTCATGCAAACATGTTTTTTAAACTTATAAAGGTGAATTGGCTCAAGAATTGCCATTAACTTGTGTAATGATGCAAAATACAGGGGACACAGGTGCAGAAGACACCTTTTACATTCTTGATCGCATCAAATGTTTGGAGTCACATAAGATGGCTTTGGGTTATCGAAAAGTATGTCAGTTATGTACATCACGTCCTATATTCTTTAGTTCCAGTTGTTTTTGGCTCTACCTTAGTCTCTTGGACCATAACCTTTGTTGCATATAGCTTGTTCATTTGCATTACACTGAAACTCGAGACCATAGCACAATTCAGGCCATTACAATATTCATTTAAATCAACATCATAGAAATTTGAAGAAAATGGTAACTTGTTATGTCCTGTAGTAAACTAATACTGTCATTCAATTTCCTGCCCATATATCTGATGCTATTCTGATCTAAATCTTATAGTATGATACCTGAATAGGATTTTCTACATTGAGACCGGATACATGGTCCAACTAAAGAACTTCTGCTGCTTGTCTCATTTTATAAGCTGCCTTCAATCTGTGGGACGCCTAATCAGCAAGTTGTAGCATCTTCAAGTAGCTGCTCCCAATGGTCTTCAGCTTCTGCTCTAAAATCATTTCATACATTCCATCCTGTCAGAGCCAGTGGTCGATGTTCTGGTTCTGCTACATGGGAGAATAAAGCATGCAACTGGTTGTGGGATTTGCCATGCAAACGTCGTCTTCTTAGAGATAGCCAGGATCTCCCTTCAGCCAATAGGGTGCTAAACATGCAATACGGGAAGGTATGGGCTTGTGTTGTGGCAACTTTAAAAAGGGGAACAAGGCTCATCTGAACGATTATTGAGGTGGCTCTTATTTTTCCTCCGTATTGGTAGTATTGGTGTTATATCTGGGGCCCGTATTTCTTACTCTTGTTTAATGGAATGTTTTAAAGTATTGGAGATCTTAGCATTTGTTCAAGTAGTTCAGTGTAAACAATGATAACCTACTATTGCATGACTATTCTGCACCTCTCTTGAAGGTTGTTAGTAGGAAGATGGCTGCCAATGACTTTGTGTTTTTGGCCTTTTCTGCTATGAAATTTATACCCTTGAAATCACTATTACTAGACAATTTTTTAGAGTTTCAAGGTTGACATTTTTATTTATTTATTTATTTATTTTAGTGCACTAATAAATTGATTCTGCTTCAAGATGCACTGGACAGGGATCGTCGACTATAGTTAATCAACTGAAAAAGGAGAAATAGTGACTCTGCCAATACACTGAAAGATGTAGTATCTTGCCTAACCAAAAATGAAGAAAGCTGAAAGAACGCCAATAAGAGCAATCACTTTAACATATATAGACAACAAATCAAGCATCTGGTGCGTTGTTCATCATCAACGTTATCATCTACAAGCTATGACCAGTATGCTAAATTGTTCTACCTTTCTGCTTCCCTCGGAAGCCTACTTACTGCCTTCCTGGTCATTTTACTCCTGACTATTTCACGTGTACATTGATCACCACAAATGGAGTATAGTACTTTCCCGGCAATTCTATGAATGCCAAGTACCACACCGAAGTTTGAACTGCTACAAAACAGTCCAAGCCAAGCAATTCTGCATTGCTGCACCACCAATGTCCACCAACCATTATGGGCACTGATAGGCAGCATTTCTATGTGGTTATCCCAGGATTATATACTTGCTAATTTATCTGCTGATGTGTGGAGCATGATTGGTGATGATGACGCATCACTTTAAATTTGCTTTTTTTACCCAAATTTTCATTGGAAGACTTCATTGCTATATATTGTGTGTACTTAGTTTAGGAGTTTTATGATGATTCTTTGATTCATCTGAATGCCTTTGTTGCATGTCCTCGTGTAGGGGGTTAATTTGATACTTAATTACTTGACTGCAGGAATTGATTAGTATTCGAGTTTGAACCTTAACCAAGTGGTTGGTAAGATGACTAATCATGTACTTTCTAATCATAATTTTAGTTGGATTTGCTCAATAAACTTTGAATATAATCATTTGAATGAGTTTATAACCGTTGTTTTGCTAATATTACAAGCTTTGGTTAACTTTTGATTTAAGTTGATCTTGGGCACTCTCGTGCACAGCGCGAGGGCCTAAAAAACTAGCTATCATCAAAACAGTGGGATGTGCTTTGATGCTGCAATTTGTAGAGGCCTTAAAAGGTGGTCAATTTTAATTAGGTTTTTGCTTTCTAAAGACATTCTGACAGGATAGGACGAATTCTTAGTTGTAACATTTGAAATTCCAATAAAAATTTAACCGAAGCAAAATCTAACTTCTCACCACCAAATAAAAACTGATAAAATTCAGTGCTGTTGACACAATTACAATGAACCTTTTTCTATTTCAAATTGTTTATTTTGATGCCGCTACGCTCTCTACTGTCACGTAAGGAACCTAAGCTGTGTTATGCATATAGCAAAACCAAAATGTGTTAACTACCTAGAGGTAGATCAAATATGTAGAAGGTATTTGATCAAATACATAGCCGATAGATCGAATAACCATGTATCGCAGATGATTTATCAGTGTTTACAAATTCCAACATCAAATACGAAATACATCGGTCTGGAAGCGTTCGTCATACAATCTCCAATGGCCATATCTTTCAGTATGGAAAACAGACCTAGGAATATAGAAGTTAGGCTTTTTCATGGTTTTCAAATTCTTCAAACTGGAAGCTGCATTTGCTATATCACGACTAGTTACATTTGCACATCCAGATAAATCCAGGTATTCAAGATCAGAACAGCCTTCAGATATCAAAACAAGACCTTCGGCCGTCAATTTGGAAAACCGAAGTTCGAGATGCAGGAGATGAGGCATAAATTTCCCAATTGCAGTGGCATCTGCATCCCCATCTTGAGGACAAGCATCCAGATATTCACCAGGTACAATACCAACATGTTGAGAAGGATCCAACCAATTCATCAAATTCCGCCTGAAAACCTGCAACTTCAGGCAGTGCCTTCCTATAAGTGCCATAGATTCATGAGATATTTCATAGCAATAGCTAATATCAAGTTCCCTAAGGTTGGGGCAGCCAGAAGCTATTTTAGCAATAACTTCATCTGTAACATGAGGAGAGCTCTTGATGGAAAGAACTTGAAGATTGGGGCACCTGGGAGACACAGAATGGAACTGAATCGTTTCAAACGTCAATAAAAATATAAGTTGCACACCCCTCAACAATGACAGAACTCAGAATTGCCATTTAGACTTGCCATGACTATTATAGAGGTCAATAAAATTAAGTGGCAAAATGCACAAATTGTAAACCACCAGTAAAGCAATTTTATTGCTCTTGGTCTTCCACTAACAATGAACCTCAACTACAACGTACATCCTAGTCAACCAAAAAATAGAAATGTATAGTTTTTGAAAAGGCTGCAATCGATACTTGATAGATAAAGAGGCAACCCACTCTTTTTTGAGTAAATTTAGCAGTACAATTGCCTTATTAGGATGAATATTCCAGAATTATGCTCATATTCCCATTTTGCGTCACGCCCCTTTAACAATTTTTTTCAAATCCAAACATCATTACCCTAATAAGTATTAGTCATTAAATTCAAATGCCAATGAAGCTGGGCAATCAGGTTTTAAAAACATGGTTCATCGAGATAAATGAATCTGAAGGCAGCCATAAGAAAAGCAAGATCAAAACAGGGAAGTAGGAAAAAAATCCTTGGAAGAAATTCTTCATTCTCTTTGGAACCATTCAACCAAGTGATCCTGATTTTCAATTTGTCATTTTGTACCCACCAAATCAGACCCAAATTCAACTCAGTTTTCATCCTATTCATCAAGAAACCCCCCAAAATGAACCATTCTATCTAACCCCAAACCCACATCATGTAGTACTTTTAGAGGATTCCATTGATAAACTTTTAAATGTTTCTGGAACCTAGAGCTGAATTCTCATCCATTTCAAAAGAATAACTCAAAACCACAATTAATACCAGAATAATTGACACATATGTGGACATTGTATTCCATAATATAAGAAAAAATTATCAATCGTATGCATAAAACAAATCCATCGCCTAGAAAATTCTGATTTTTAGGAAATTGACTTCTCATTTCTTTTCTCTTGTTCACAAGCAACACCTCCAAGCAACTATTGTCCTCAGGCTTGAAATCGGTGAGTTTGAACAAATTGACAAGAGCACCAAACATGCTTGTTGGGGCTTCTTCACCAGCGGGAGCGAGGGAAGGAAAGAAGAAGTTGGACAAGGGGAAAAAAAAGATATTCAGGAAATAGACTCTAAATTCGATCTTTGGGAAATCGATTAGTATTCAAACATTCTAAATTTATGGCACGAAACTGGGATTAAAATTATGTGAGCTAACCTTAATCCATAATTCCAAATTGACAACTAAATTAAACATAAATTAACAACAAAAAAACACGCACACACGTTTTTCACCTTAAAATTCAGGGAAAACGAAAAGGAAAATTCATGAAATGAAAGAAAAAAAAAATTCAAACATCAAAGTTTAAACCTTTCAGCAACCAAAGAGAGAGAGCGGTTAGAGCAGTGTCTGACGCGGATTTCAGTGAGGGATCCATCGCTCCAAGCGACGACGGATAGAAGCATGGCATCGATTTTGCGTTGGAACTCGGGAGTCCAGTAACGGGGCAACTCAGTGGATGAGCCGAAGTGAGTTTCGAGGTCAAAGACCGAATTGAGGCAGGGCTCCTTGCAGGCGTGCAGCCATGACTTGCAGACGAGCATAGCTCCCCGCCATCGGTCTTCGAGTGATACGCGGGAAAGGATGTTAACGAGACACTCGTGAGTCATATCGCCCCAGTCGTGACTCGGTCCCGACTCGGATGTTCCTCCTTCTTTGTCGTCCATTTTGCCTTCTGTTGGCGGTGGTGCTTGTGCCATATCCTTTTCGAGTTTTGATGCGTGAAATACTACTGTGGTCGATTCGCGCGATGCGTGACATTGCGTGCAAATAAGAGTTACTAAAAGAAAAAATATTTGTAAAATTTTTTGAATATATTTGTTCAAATAAAATGTATAAACAGATAATTATTTGGCGGTGAAACATGACCATTACCGGTGGTTGCCGAACTAATTAGTGAGATTTATCAAATTTGTTGAAAATTAGAATAATAAAAAATACATGCTATTTGGTAGAAAGGCATATTAATAATGAATAATTATCAAGAATAGTTTTTAAAAAAAAACATAAAATGATAAAGTCTTTTTGATATCAAAATGCCCCCTCTCCATTATATATAGTATACATATCATAAGGCTTTAGTGTAACTAAAAATGATCTTTAAAAAAAGGTGAAAAGAAAAATAGATGAGATTAATGTTCAAAAACTATTGGAAGAGAAAAATTATGGATGGAAAAATTAATGTTCACGGAGCGTGCTTCAAAAAAAAAAAAAAAAGGTTCATGGATGGCTTGAAAGTTGAAAGACAATATAATCCCTAAGTAACAAGAACTATTAACCATCTTGATATCAATTAACTCACACACACAAGGGCAAAATCAGGATATTACACAAATCAATTGCTTTTAGTATTTTGTCACACCATAAACCAATTGCATAAAGTAAATTCCAATGTGCTATTTGTAACTAAATCAAATTAACCCGAAACAATAGCAAATTTGCTGCATAAAAAGCTTGGCTTAATGATGCTATTTGCATTAGTAGGTAATGCCTCAAATCATATAAATGTGTTGAGAGAGGGAGGGCATTTTCATCTTCTTACAAGGTCTTTGTCATGGTGTTAAAATGTTGGATGGGCATAAGAGGCGGGCATGCATTAGATGGCCTGGCTTCTCAAAATATAGAGGAGTGCAAATAGAGCATGATTAAAACTCCAAAAAAAAAAGATTTGTGTTTGTATTCTTTTAACCAAATCTAAACAAATTTCAGCATTTGAGATCCCTGGAATCATATTTGCAATTTTTGTTGTTTATTTTGTTAGTAGAATTTTTTTGTTTATAATATATTTTTTTTAAATTTTCTTTATCATATGAAACTATG